ATTACAGCTGCTTTGGAAAGCAATCTGACTGTTTTCCTTTAAAACTGAAAATACAGGGGCTCCTAGGTGGCTCAGTTGGTTAAGCGTCTGCCTTCGGCTCAGGTCATGATCCCAGGGTCCTGGGATCGAGCCCGACATTGGGCTCCCTGCTCAGTGGAGAGCCTGCTTCTCCCTCTGCCTGCCGCTCCCCCTGCTTGTGCTCTCTCTCCCTCTCTGACAAATAAATAAATGAAATCTTAAAAAAAATAAAACTGAAAATACAAACGCCATACAGCCAGGCAGTGGCACTTTGAACGTGGGCCTTAGAGAAACGCAAGAACGCGTGCACCAGACACTTCCATGTTTCTGTGAGTATGCGTGTGCATGCAGCGGAAGTGTGAAAACATGGCCTGTGAGCACACAAGACACACGCGTGGGAGTGACCCCTCTGGGAGGGGACGGAACTGGGGCGCCTGAAAGGCCACGTTGGTAATGTATACTTGAACTTATTGCAAAAATGGCTGAAGTAAATGTGGAAAAATGTTAATATTTACTGAGTGTTTAATAAAATTCTTTCTTGTGTTTAAAAGACGTTTAATTAAAATAGTCAATTTGGGTCGAGTGAAGAGTAAAGAGGACTCAAGCAGGGGGCATGTCCAGACTGGGTTTCCCAGGGACAGAAGTGCATGGGAATCGGGGTGAACAGGAAGTGAGCGACACAGAAACACCCAACATGCCCACACGTGCAAACCAATCCCTGTGCCCAAGGGCGTTCGGTTCCCGTGAAGCAGTGATGGCGTCCCCAGGAATTTAGAGAGGACCCTACTGGACAGAGTTAGAACTCACAGGTAGGGGACTTGTCTCTCAAAATCAGAGCGCTACAAGAAAGAAAGAACCTTACGACACGCTTATCTTTTTCTCTGCCTCGGACACAGAGGTCACATGGTGTTACCATGGAGCTCAATTTTCCTTCTTGTTTTGACATCTTCTACCCTTACCATCAGCACTGATCTTTGGAGTTTCCTGCACCCGGTGACAAAGACAGGGAGGGCTTGGTAGCCAAGTGTGACCCTAAGGTGTCAAATCCGCTCATGACCCACCACTTCGCTGCTCAACATGGAGTCTGAGCTCTGAACGCTTCTCACCCCACTGTCGGAAGTCTGAGCAAGGGTCTGATGCAAGCAGCTCCTAAGCCAACCTCTGGGGCCCTGAGGGACAGGGACTGACGGACGGCCTCCCAAGGGAGGGAGGAGTGGAGGACAGAGACCCAGGGACAGGGTTGAGCCTGCGGCAGCTCAATGCTCACTACTGTTCTTTCTTTCAAGCAGGAGGGAGAATTCAAACTGATTAAAAGACAGTGCTGAGTTTCTGGAAACACACACACTCCACTCTTGAGACAGGCAGAAATTAAATATGAAATTGCTAGACATGTATCAGACCACAATACTCTTCCTTTCTTGGATGAAAATTTAAAAAACAAAACAAAGCACTTCATGATTTTTACTCATGATTCATTAGATGTTTTGCTATGAATATTCTGAATGGGTAAAAATTATGCCCGATATTTAAATAAAATATATTAAAGCTCATTCATAAAAGTTATTTATTTGTTTATATTGTTACAGCGTCCTCTTTAAAGCACATCTTAATGACTTTCTTTGCTTATATACAAGCTGAAATGAAATGAATGAATCAAAATCTTACATTTATGCTTGTTACATCACAAAATGAGAAGAAAATCAGTAAACATTCAGCATATCACTGTGGATGAATGTTAACACATTTTAGCTGAAATGTATGTATGATTTATGTCTATTTCATAATTTAAATTAGCTGCTTAATGATGCATGGCTACTATCTTCTCTTTATCCATATCCCAGTGCAATTTCATTTCAGGCGGAATCAGAAACGTGCTTTCTTGTCTGTACATCTTTGGGAAAATATGTCCTCAAAACTGAGGCTAAGGATGACAGGGAGTGCTGCACCTGACCCTGAAATCTCATGTCTCATTTTACAGGAAGTTTGGTACCAGCTCCACCAAGCCGTGCTCCTGAAAGCCGGGTGAAGAGGCAGAGTCCCCAGACTCCAGGACACAGGAAGCATCACCAAACAGGGCACACCAGCCAGACGGGAGGGCTGGGAGTAGCAGTGGCCACCACAGGAAATACCTGCCTTCTCATCTCTCACTCGTTAAACCCATGGTAAATGCAGAAGCAGCTGATGGATGCACAGTCATTTTGAATCTACAATTCTCATGGACCTCAACAGGAACAGAAATTGGAGCACTTGTGAAGCTGCATGCTTTAGGGAATCCAGTAGTTCGGAGCTACTAAGAGGTGGGCCTGTGTACCCAAAGTTAAGTTTTGTCCGCTGTAGACGAGACACCTATGGACACCAGCCGCCGACCCCCACAGCTGCAGAGGGGGCAGCCTCCTGCCTAGCAGCATGATCATGCAACAGGGGTGGGGCTGGTGGCCGCGCTCTGGCTGCAATCAGGTGGGGCGGGAAGAAACACTTTTGTTTTATGCTGAAGAGAAACATAGCTGTTCCTCATTAGAAGTATGAGAATATCCTATCCTGTCCTTTTTTTTTTTTTTAAAGATTTTACTTATTTGCCAGAGAGAGAGCATGGGAGAGAGAGAGCACAAGCAGGGGGAGTGGCAGGCAGAGGGGAGAAGCAGGCTCCCCGCTGAGCAGGGAGCCCGATGCGGGACTTGATCCTAGGACCCTGGGATCATGACCTGAGCCGAAGGCAGACGCTTAACTGACTGAGCCACCCAGGCGCCCCTACCCTGTCCTGTCTCGATTGCCAAAGCCACCAGGTATAATTTATCAAGCAGAAGTATGCCCAAACATCCCCCTTGGGCACTGCCCTTAACCCCTCCTTGGGCACCTTTCCATCAGAGCTATCAGAAGTGGCTACAGAGACTCACCTCCTTCTGGGGTGGAAGTCTGCTCATCGCCTTTCAGGTAAGGAAGGAAGCTCAAATGGCTGGAACGTGTAGACGAAAAAGGACATGGTTCATTTGCGAGCTACAGAAGTATCCCCTGAGCGACCAGGAGAAGGCTGCACCCTCCGAACACCGCGGTCTGAATTTCCAGCGCACAGGAGGACGTGGGGCTCACCCACAGCCGGGCTCCGACGGACGGAGCCCACCACCCCCGGGGGCTTCCTGGGGCTGGAGCGCGGGAGGAGACTCGCTCAGAGACCTGGCCGGGGCCTACAGCAGACACGGCTCCTGAGACCATGGCCGCACGGACGGGGGCCCCTGAGCTACCTCTTCCACCTGGGGCAGCACCAGGGGGCAGGGGTGTCCTCCCGAACACTGCTCCTGGCGGCTCCTGGATTCCGTCTGTCCCAGCCCCGGACCCAATAGGCCACAGGCTGGGAAGAAGTTTTACAAGTTCGGGAGGAGGGCCTGCTGTCTCCTTTGCTGACTCTGAGTCCACTCAGCCCAGCTGCTTCATTTCCACTCTGTCGAGCCAACCGGTCTGATTTTGGCCCGGTTTTAGGTACTGAAACTCACCTTTTCCATTCATTTCTCTTCTATGAGGGGCAATTTCCCTTAGTCAGAAGGAAGAAATAGGACTAATAACACCAGTGAGGTTAAAAGGTATGAAAGTACCCTGTGCTAGAAACCTCCTCCCAGTCTGGGCAAACTCGGTCACGCGGTCTGGCCCCTGTCTCCCGTGTGGAGGGTAAACCCGATAAAGGAGAAAGCTTGCTCCTTCCCTGTGTCCCCTCCACAGAAACAGGATCTGAGTATTAAGAAAAACAACACAAAAAGGGGCTGAGAAATGTGTTTTAATTCTGTCTTCTCAGCTCATGTATTTATCTACTACTCATGTTAACCACGTGAGATGCTGATGTAAGTTTTTGACAATTCTATGGCCAACATGATCTTTATTATTAACCGGGCCTTTGTACTCTCTGGCGCTGTTACTATTTTCTCTCCCTGACTCTGATTCTGTGTTTCCTGACAACCAGAACTTTCCTTTTTCACTCCGCGGTTACATCCCACAAACGCTGACCAGCCAATCTTACAAAGGATGGCAGTGATCTACAGCGTGTTCCTGACAAATTAAGAACAGAATACGGCAAACAGCCAACACCGTCTTCACTATGTGCTAGCCACTGTTCCCAGCAACCTGCACGTAAGACCTCGCTTGAGCTTCACGACACCCTAAAAAGAATCAGCCCTGCTGTCCTGGTAAGGATGCTGGGACACAGAGACGCCATATCACTTGCCCAGGCCCCACGTGACTAAGGGGAGGGCAGGACTTACCAGGAAGCCAGACAGTGGAGGCCCGGCCTTCAGTAACACCACCTCTGCTGCCTCTCGGCAGAAGTCCTCCTGAAACTGTCTTAGGCTCAACAGGAACATGGGATGGGTTCCAACAGATCTACAAGGTTCTCCACCGAGAAACGTTTGCTCCCCCTCAAGGCTGCTCGTGCCCTGGAGGGCTCTCTGTCCTCTGTGCTCTCCCTTCCCCAATCCTTATTTTTTGCTGACAACTACCCCGTGCTGTAGCCCAGAGTCTTCCAAATGATGGCTGGAACACGCTGGGGGACTGCAACCAGATTTTTAAGTAAATTAAATCAGGACAGAAACCAGTAGACAATGGCACGAAGTATTGTTGCAAGAATGGTTTGTCTTGTTTCTCTGTGTGTATTTGCAGTAGGTCATGACGTAAGATTATTGTTTACACGGCAGCACAGTCAAAAAGTCTGAATAAACACCACCACCCAGGTCTAATACCAAGCCTTACTGCTGTCCCCCAGCAGGTGCCTGAGACAGGGTTGTCAGAGGGTGAATGGCTACGCAGTGGGGATGTCCGGGGAAGCGTGTTTAGAAAACTGAGTGAGGTCATTCTGTAAGTCAGGGCTCACTGCTAGGCTACTCACTTGATTTTTCCAGACTGGACACACCAGGAAAACTGAGGATGCTTGTTCTGTATGAAGCAAAGCAAAGCAAAGCAAACTACACGCAAAGGCATAAATATGACCAGCACTGCCTTACCTCTTCGCCCAGGATATACGTGAGGGTAGTACTCGTAATAGAGATCAGGCTGGTCCAGGTTTCCAAAGGGCTCAAACTCCATCTCAGCATTCTGGAAAAGGCCCAGCTTCACCAGCAGTGCCAGCCTCACAAACCAAAGCTAAAACACAAAATACAATTGAAACAATAGATTACCTACGAATGTCAAGTTCAGAAATTCCTATTTCCTATTAATTTGGTAGCAGAGCTTGATTTCCAGTATATTAAAACAAAGCCTACACTCGGTTTCTTAGCACATTTGCCTAATTACATGTTTATAAAAATTACTCTTAAGCTTAACAAAAACAACGTAAATGATTTTGTCTGATTTGGCTTAATCTGCCAATCCTTGTTGAGGAGAATGGAGAGCAGGGATGGCAGGGCTGGATGTGGACAGAGCCACGTCTGGGGCGGGCACTGAAGGGTACGGAATCACCACGGGGGGAGGCAGAGGGGAGGCACAGAGAGGAGAGTGCGATGTGGGTGAGCAGTCAGCTCTGAAGGGCCAGAGGGCCCTCTGGGTGCAGAGGCAGAGCGGGGATCTGGAAAGGAAGACTAGAGTAAACTCATGTTGACGTTAAATTTGGGCTAAGAAAATCTATTTTTCGTTCTCACGTTGTTCTTAGTGGCATGAAAGGTCACGTCCCTTCCCTGTCCCCCCTTCATGACCAACCAAAGGGGCTGTACCTGTAAGGAGTCTGCCGTGTGGCTGGTGGGCAGCCCGCTCTTGCCGTAGCCTTGGCCGTGGGCCGTGAGAAGGCGCCCGCAGAGGTCAACCGCTGCCCTCCAGTTTTTGCAGCTCTGTAAGACACAGCAGGACGTGTCACCGAAAGCACAGCCACTCCTACACGCAGGGCCTGCCGCGCCGGGCCCAGCGCCAGCCCCTTCTGGTGAATGACGGCCAGGCCAGACAGCTGCTGGTACGGAGAGCGCCACTGGTTGACGCCTGTGTGTAACTGGGCAAGAAGGGCGCCAAGCGGGAGATGCAGCTTGAGACGAGCAAATCCGAAAAACATTAAAATTTAACAACTGATAGAACACAGAGAGAATTCCTTTTTAAAATTTATTTTATTTAAATTCAATTAATTAACATGTAGTGTACTACTAGTTTGAGGTAGAGTTCAGTGATTCATCAGTTGTATATAAATACCCAGTGCTCATTCCATCAGCTCTTGTTGAAAAGCTCCCCTACCCCCAAGACTGCTTTCCTTTTTCAGCCAAATAACTTTATTTTGTAATTTTCACAAATTTAAAATCAATAATTTAATTTTATGCTATGTGCCGGATGGATTTCTTTGTATCTGTAAGAGCTGCGTGTGATAATAAAATAAGTGGTTTTGCATGCTTGACATAATCCTGTTTCACCAACATTAAAACAGACGGCTGACCTGGACGCCAGCGGATCAAGCTGGACATGCTCTGTTTATCCTTTGCCCTGATGCAACAGACAGGAGGGCCACCGGGGAAATGCACAGGAAAACGTCCTCAGAGAGAACACTGCAACCTTCTGGGAAGCGAGAAGTGGATGCTTGTGGCCCATCTCCTCACCACACCGGGCACTAACACCGTCTGCACGCCGCAGACGCTCCCGTTCACGTGTGTGGCCGACAAATGGCAGACCACGTCAGGCTCTGGGGGCAAGTGGTGGATGAACACACATCCTTGCATGCACTCATCTCACGATCTAGCAAGGAAGACAGATATGAAACAACTTATTTTCCCAAGATGAGTAAAATGATCTTGTGTGTGCTCACAGTGCTTTCTGAACAAGAAGCCATGGGAGCACATCACCTGGTGGCCAGACTTAACCTCAGGGAATGGAAAGCTACTGGAGCCCAGACGTGAAGGAGGAACAGTGGGGTCAAGAAGGGGCAGGACCCACCAGGCCGAGGGGGAGCTGCCTGAGAGAATCCGGAGGTGCCTCAGAAGAACGGCCTTCAATCAGGTGGCCGGCACATGGCAGTGAGAGGACAGGCGTGAGGATAAGAATGGGGATGTCAGCAAGGAAGGCCTCAGACCACGAGAGATCCAGACTCCTTCTGAGGGGCTGGGGAGCCACGGAAGGGCTTTGGGCAAGGGAACGACACAGTCCTGTTTAACAGATGCTGGAGCATGCTGCCCACCTCTCTTAGGTACTAACTCAGGCACGCACTGCTCCTGTTGGCACCCTGCACCTGCCAGACAAATCCTAAGTTGGGGTGAGGACCCAGAGAGCATAGGCCTTGCTGCAGAGGGGCCTGTGAGCGGGGACCGATTCCTGGCTTCTCCTGACAGCAGCCCTGTAGGCTCCGCGAGGGGAATTCCTCGGGGCACGGGCCAAGGTAGGTGCTTTGACTTCTGGAGAATCATCCTAAGTGTGGCTATGTATATTCTTGAGTTGCAAACGTGAAAAAGTAAGAGGGAAAGTTATCCTGCCAAGTTTGGACCAATTCTATGTATATGTCTAAGCAGATCCTGTATGCAGGGGCGATTAATTGTTGCCGTTTTCCCAACCGCCTATGTCACACATGCTGGCCTTTCCTGCTGGTGGCAGTAGATCTGAGCAGAGTGCTCAGGGCGGTCTTCTGAGGAAAGGACTCCAGCTGAGGATGGGTAAGAGACGCCGTGAGGAGGGCAGGAGGGGGGCTCCGGTAGGCAGAGGCCTGGTTAGCGGGCCGCGGGGATGCAGTGAGGACGAGGGGCAGTAGGGGTGGGCAGTGCAGGTGTGGACAAGGGGCAGGGAAGGCCAGGCCAGCCTCTGCAGGCTTCCAAGAGGATGGGCAATGTGTCCTGCTCACATTCTAGAAACATCAGCCCCCCTCCCTGTGAGGAGGAAGCATGAACCTGAGGGGCTGAGCAGGTGTCCAGGCCTGGCACTGGTGGTCTATGTGCGGCCAGCAGGCTGGATTCGCCCTGTGCGTGTCTACACACGGTTCTGGAGACCAGCCTCCTTCACACGTCTGTCTGCAGCTGGTTCTGTGATCCACGAGGGAGATGGGCAGTCACTGCAGAACTAAGTAGCTGCCCTGAGACTGAGTGGCCCCGAGCCCAATGAGCCACCCCAGGCCTGGCCAGCACCACATCCAGGGAGACCGTGGACAACGTCCCATCAGTGGCTTATGACGGGCCCTCAACGAGAAGGGGTAAGAAACAGAAACGTCTCCAGCAACTTGACAGGGCATTTGATGTCAAATGCAATAATGATAAAAAGTGGACTTGTACATGTTTTTCATATTTTAATTTAGATTGAATTTTACAGAAGTTTCAGTCTGCTAAAGATTGAACAGTTAAAGGAAAACACCTGTCCCTTCCATGCCAAGCTTGAAAAGCATGGTCACAGGCCACCTGTATCCGTGGCGGGGGGAGGGTGCAGACACGGCAGAGGGACAAGGCCGGGTGACAATCTGACGTGGGGAGCACGGGGAGCGAGGCTGCAGGATGGATCTGAGACTCTGACATGCAGCCAGGCGGCGGCGGTGCGAGTCTTGGGAGACAGGGAAGGCTGGAAAGGGTCAGAGCTCGGAATCTGCAATTTGATTCCAACAAGGCCGAATCTGAGGGGCCTTTGAGACGTTCAAGAGGAAAAGAAAAAGCAGCTACTGCCGTGTGTGTAGGTCTGTTTGGGAGAGGGGCATGCCTGGGGCAATGTGGGGGGCTCTGCACAAGGAGGGTGTGGGTGAGATGGGGGTCAGACCCTGAGGATGTGCAACACGGGTGGCCGGGGAGGGGGAGGGCTGAGTGTGGGGGGAAGGGTGTGCGGAGCAGGAGGGGACAGTGCTCAGGGCTGCCGAGGAGGCAGGCACAGGGACACCAGAATCATGGGCAGCTGAGAGCTGGTCTGACGGGGAGATGGGATGGGAAGTCAGATGGAATGAAACAGGTGGAAAATAAGGAGGGGACCAGTGAGCCAGGTGACCCTGTGAGGTCTGAGTCACCAAGCTAATCGTGGTGGTGGTGAGGGGGGAGAGAAGAGGTGCTTCTTCTGTGTCTGCTTTTAACCAAATGCTCCCGTGTGAGAGAAAGCAAGAGAAGGATCTCGTTGGAGAAACGCTGACTGCATGCTAGAAAGAAAGGATCATCAATAGAACAAGGTCCCAGGAGTCAGGAAAGGATTCTCGCATTGCGGTGGGGAGAGGGGCTTCTGTCCAACGGCCTCCAGCTGCTTTAAGCTGGGGCGGGGGGCCACTCCTCCAACTCCAGCCAGGAGTGGGGGTCGGGGGGGGGTTTGAAAGAAGCAGAGACAGTCTAAAAAGGTACTGGGAGCCAGAGAAGCCTAGAAGGTCCCTGGGAAGCAGGCGGTGGTGTTTAGTGTCACGATGAGCACTAAGCTTGGATGTGGGACTTCTGCAGCAGGCTAGTGGCCCGGCCAGGCCATCTGCGTGGACTTGACATCATCGGGTGAGGGTAAAGGTTGGGAGAGAAGACAAGCAGGCAGACCTCCTTTAGCTACAACTACCCATGTGACTTCTGTGACTTACCCAGGCCTCAATCACGCCCTTGTGACGTCAGCTGGCCACCCTGAAGGTGGAAATGAGGGTACACTCTGTGGAGAAGCTGGAACCACTCTCACCCCTCAGGACCTCTTCCCCCAGTCAGCGGTCTGTGCTCACACCTGTCCCACCTGCCCATCCTGCTCTCCTCCAGCTAGGAAGGGCTGCAAAGATGACCATCCTATGACCTGGCTCAGACCCAAACTTCACAACACCTCTCCTGCCCACAGTGAGCCCTCCTACTGGTAATTTTCTGGCACACACATTCCTGGGGGGCTACAGCCCCCCAGGGGGATGGAATTTGGTTCTTGGATAACAATGATTAATGGCCCTCCAAAGATTAACCTACCCAACAAAATCTTATTCCTTAGTATTTTACTTCATCTGGGGCTGAGGGAGGTGAGCAATTAGGAAACAAGGTGGAAAAATGCTTCTCAGGGGATTGACAACGAGGAAAGGGTTAAGAAACACTCTGAGGTATAGTCTGTCTCATCCGTTCTGCACGGGCATTAAGGACAACCTGCTGTTCCACATTAACATTAACTGTGGCGGGGTCCTGTCTCCCTCTGGGTGAGCTCTGGGGGCCATGGCCTTGTCGAGGGCATGCTTTTTAACTTCTAAAAGTACTTCTTCAGCATTGTACCTACCATGTACGTGCGTTCAAAAAATGGTGAAATAGTAAATTCACAGAACTACAAAAAAGTCATAAAAAAACCGACACTAATAACGAAAGAGATGGAAATGATAACTGTGATCACTATTAGTGATTGATTTTTATTAGCCAAAAAAAAAAAAAATAGCAGCAAATGCAACTGTTAGCCCAAGAAATGATAGAGAGTAATTTTTAAAGAATATACAAGTCAGGGCCGACAAGGAGACACTAAAGCAAGGGTTCTGCATAAACAGGTGTAACCTTTCTGGAAAATAATACATACTAATAGCCTCACAACTGCCCATAGTCTGACCTACTTGTTCTCTCAGCATTCATGCCAAAGAAATAATCATGTGTATAGAAAAGATTTCTGTACAAGGTGGCCCATCCCAAGGTTATTTACAATAGTATCAGATTATGCAATAAAAATATTTATAAATTGAACTTTAACCAGACAATGCTTAAGATGTTAAAAAGATACAAAATCATAAATAGGTATAATATGAAGTTTTGTCTAGTATATGTACAAATACATATGTAAGTATTCATATTCACATGTAGACATACTATATACAGAGACACTAAAATGTTAACAGACGGTGGTTATACAATTTTTCTGAATGAAGAACATGCTATTTGTAAAAGGAGGGAAGAGGGGTTTGTGAATGACAGGACAGGCC